AACCCATGAATTACCAAGCTCAGGATCACTACATAGTACTCTAACTCCAGAATATCTAACAAGTAAAAGAAATACAAAAGGGAAAATGTTTAAAAACTAGAATAGAAAGGGACTCCTCGGTCTACGGACGAGGCAAATATACCTCGAAGTCGCTGGAGCAGTCGCCTCGCCTCGCCTCAAGGGTGATAGGACTGAGTCGCAGTACCTGGATCTACACATGAAAAACATGCGCAGAAGGGGCATGAGTACACAACAGCGGTACTCAGTAAGTGCCAAGCCTAACCTCGGTCGGGTAGTGACGAGGGAGGTCAGAGCCATACTGAGGTTAAATAAAATATAAAGTTTGACAGTGTAGAATAGAACAGTATAAATAAATACAACGGTAAAAATAACATATGATATAAAAAGGGCAACAACAACTATTACAGAGATAAGGCAAAACACTGTAAAAGATGCAACTTGGCACCAAAATAACAATTGGGGATCTCCCAGGATACCGTCCTGTAGTCCCATATGTACATATCCAATGGATCTCCCGGGATCCCGTCCCGTAGTCCAACTCATAGTGCGCGGGGATCTACCAGAATCCCGTTCCGTAGTCCCAAATATAAATACCCAGTACTGGGGGAATCTACCGGGTGAATTCCCGTAGTTCCATATAACTGTGTAGGGGGGATCTACCGGAATTCCACATCCGTAGTCCCAAAATAAACAGACAAGGGGGAGCTACCGGAATCCCACATCCGTAGTCCCAAAATAAACAGACAAGGGGGAGCTATCGGAATCCCACATCCGCAGTCCCAAAATAAATACAGAACAACAACAGGAATATATACAGAAATGGAAAAATTTCATATTAAGGTAAGAAATGATTCTAGCCTAGCATGCTGCACAGAATTCAGGTAAGGCAGATTGAGCAAGTAAAGCAATTAAGTCACTTAGACATGCTTTCCTAAGTTAACAACAGGCTTAAGTTAACAACAGGCAGTTTGAGCAAGTAAAGCAATTAAGTCACTTAGACATGCTTTCCTAAGTTAACAACAGGCTTAATAGTGCAAGTAATAGAAACAAGAAAGGAAACATACTAGTAATTACTTAAAGAAAACCGGATTTCCAACAATTAGCACAAGTACGCACTCGTTACCTCACGTACAAGGCATTTCAATTACCAAATATACCAAATCCTAAGGGGAAGGTCTCCCAAACAAGGTTAGGCAAGCCACTTACCTCGAACCGACTCAAAATCAATCTGAAATCACGCTCTTGCCACGAGTACTCGACTCCAAATGGCCCAAATCTATTTAATTCAATTTTATAACGTAAATAACACTTAAAGTAACTGATTCTACAAAGAAATTCTAAGCTAATACGTGAAATTAGATAAAATGACCAAAATGCCCCTCAGGCCCACATCTCGGAATCGGGTAAAATTTATATTTTCAGAATCTTCACACTCTCTCGAGTTCATGCATACCAAAATTATCCAAATCTAAGGTCAAATTCCCAATCAAAAGTCGAATTCTAGGTGTAAAAACTTTCTTCCAACTTTTCCCCAATTTTCATCTCCAATCCAAAATTAAATGATAAATTTATGTTTGGATTAATGAGTTACAAGCAAAATGGAGTTAAGAATCGTTACAAAATCGATATCTCTGAAAATTCCTCAAAATCTCGCTCAAATCCGAGCTCCCAAGCTTAAGTTTTGATAAAAATGGCTAAACCCTCGATTTTGAAATTTTATATTCTGCCCAGGTATTTCCTTCTTCGCGAACGCGAGGCTACGGTCGTGAACGTGATGCACAAAAGTTCCACTGGCCAGTCTCCCTCTTCGCGAACGCGATGCCTGAGCCGTGAACGCGATGATCATTTCTCTTCTCCTACGCGAACGCGAGATTGCCTTCGCGAACGTGTAGGCACAAGGTTCCACAGCCTCGCGAACGCGAAGCGTTAATTCCTCACCAGCCCCAGCTCCTCTTCACGAACGCGAGACCCCACTTGCGAACGCGAAGAAGGAAACCAGAACTGACTGCTGCAACATTTTTCTGCAATTCTCTAAGTCCAAAAATGACCCGTTGAGCATCCGAAACACACCCGAGGCCCCCGGGACTTAAACTAAACCTACCAACCAATACTAAAACATCATTCAAACTTGTTCCAACCTTTGGAACGGTCAAAACAACATCAAAACACCTATTTTTCATCGGATTCAAGCCTAAGAATTTCAAAAACCCTAAAAATACGCTTTCGATCAAAAAGTCTATCAAACCTCGTCCGAATGACCTGAAATTTTATACACACGTCACATTAAACACTACGGAGCTACTCCAAATTCCAAAATTCCATTCCGAACCTCAGATCAAAATCTCACTATCGAACCGGAAACTTCAAAAATTCAACTTTCTGCATTTCAAGCCTAAATTAGCTACGGACCTCCAAAACACAATCCGAACACGCTCCTAAACCCGAAATCACCCAACAGAGCTAACGAAACCATCAGATTTTCATTCCGAGGCCGTCTTCACACTGTTCCGACTACGACCAACTTTCCAACACTTAAGCTCTCATTTAGAGACTAAGTGTTCCAAAACTCTCTGAAACTCAAAACCGAACATCCCGGCAAATCAAAATAGTAGAAATAAACTTGGGAAAAGCAGTTAATAGAGGATCGAGGCGTTAATTCTTAAGACGACCGGCCGGATCGTCACAATATATACACACACTAACATATACTATAACAAGTTATATATACGTTATAGTATTACAGTAAAGTGTCTGTATGTGTGTGTGTCTATATCTATATACTTTGATAGCCGTATATATGTATCAATCCCTAAAATAACCCGACCTTGTGTTCCTAGCGCTTCATGTATGTATGTATGTATGTATGTATGTATGTATGTATGTATGTATGTATGTATGTATGTATGTATGTATGTATGTAATACACATGTAAATTGATTCATCGACTTATAACCTACTCAGATGCATCATTGAATATTAAAAATAAAACGTCTCGACTTATCTCTCTCTCTCTCTCTCTCTATATATATATATATATATATATATATATATATATATAACATGCTTCGTTGTACAATTTTAACTACATATATAGCATGTAGAGTATATTTTAGTGTATTCATCTCTTGTATTGCAAAAGTGTTAACGAATTGCATTTATATTATTTAGATGGTAAATATAAAAGTGATTTTTAATTTTGACCAATGTTGACCTGAAAAGAGACCAACTTTGGTGGCTAATTATCCAGAAATTAAAATTAGCGACCAAAGTTGGTCGCTAAATTTAAATAAGATTTATTTATATTTTATATAATATTTAATATAATAATGTAATTGTTAAACGTTAGAACTGAGTCCCAGATTAGCGACCAAAGTTGGTCTCTATCTGCTTTCCCTTTCGTAAGCGACCAACTTTGGTCGCTAATTTTAAATTATATTTATTTATATTTTATAATTTTTTTAAATAATAATATAATTATTAAAATGTTATAATTGGGTCCCACTTTAGCGACCAAAGTTGGTCGTTAATTTCAATATTACTTTGACCAAGCAAGTTTGACCAGTCCGGTCAACATTTTGACCACATTATCGATCAAAAAGCGACCAACATTGGTCGCTAATGTATTTAGAATAATTATTTAACAATTTTCTCCAACTTAGCGACCAACTTTGGTCGCTTTTTTTGACAGACCAATTTTGGTCGCAAATTGTTGGTCGCTTTTTTCCAGATTTCTAGTAGTGGTAGATAGACTAATTCTAGCTGAAATTACAAAAATGATACAGTAACACAAAAAATGTATGCTTCTATATTTGATCGTTAGCATGTAAATCCAATCTTGCTACGATTTCGGACTTGGTTTCATTTCTTTATTAAGTGTATATATTGTTAGATCCCCCCAAAAAAATTACAACAGAAGGTATAGCGAAATCAAAGTAAACCCTTTTCAGAAATTCTGCTTCCAAAAATTATGTATCATGACATTTGAATCATAATGAATACCTTCTGGACTGAGGCAAATCTAAAAATTTTAAAACATGGGTACACAATGCACTACTAAAAAAGGAGGGGGGGAAAATACTATATAGGAATTTATCCTTATTTTTTTGAGTAAATTATAAACTTGTAAATCAAGTGCATCATTCAACCTTTATATAGTATGAGTGCCAAATATCAATACATAATATTAGATTAATTCTAGAAAATACATTCATAAAAATCTTAATTTAGCGGACGTACCATGAAATCACGTACCCCTAATTAAGGCTATAGATCCGCCCTGCAGTTTTTGACTTCACTGATGAAGAATAGAGCTTCCTCTGATGGTTGTAGGAAAAAGCAAAAGAGAACATTCGTTGCCGACAATTATTCAGTACTCAACCATATTCCTAAAAATTTATTAATAATTCATTAGCTTATTCAAATTTACAAATGGATACAAATCTAAAGACGCGCGCTTAATACTTTTGAGTTTTGAGCGAATCTGTCTTGGTTTCTTTATGATAAAACAATAAAAGTAGTAGAACAATATTGCAGAGAAAGAGAGAGTAATTCTTATTGAATTTTGGGATGATCTACAATGGGGTAAGACCCCTTTATTTATAGGGGAAAAATGACTTAGCCACAAAGTAAAACTCTCTACAAGATAGACATTCACTCTAAATAGAATTCTATTCATAACAATTAGCTTATTCAAATTTACAAATGGATACAAATCTAAAGATGCGCTTAATACTTTTGAGTTTTGAGCGAATCTCTCTTGGTTTCTTTATGGGACACGGGCGAGCTATGAGATCAGTTTAAAATATGGGGTTTTTATTTCTTGAAACGACATAGTTTTTGTAGCGGTATAATTTTTTTCTCCTTTTCTATTCTCCGCTCTTTGCTCCTTCTGTTGGCATTTCAAAGATTACTTCAAGTATTAATAATTGAGAGCATTTTGTTGTGTATGGTTCTATTTCTCCCTTTGTCTATTCCGATTTTCTAAATTAAGATGTGGGAATTTGCTGCTGACTTTTTGGTTTGGATTTTGTAGATCCATGAGGAGAATTTGTTGGGTATTTGTTGGTCCAATCCTTCAAATCAAATTAATTCCCCTCAATTAGTACTAGTACTAAATATTTCTAGCTTGTACATTAGAATGTCGGTATAACCTAAAAAAATCTTCAGTCAATTTAATAGGAATCCATTATTTGTTATATAAGAATATCTTAAGTTGTTAGTCTTGTTTCTACCTTTAATTAGTGAAATAATAACTAGTAATATGTTAGGCATTGAGTAAAGGGAATCCATGATAGATTATCATGTAAAAATTTAGAATTTAATTGCCTAATTTGTTCTCCTGCTTCGAGAATCCCTTCGCTAGAAAGAAGAAGACCCCCACCTCGTTGTTCCCTTCGATCGCTCCTGTGAGTTTGCCTCTGCCGAACTCCATTACTTTGCCCCTATTCCTTTTTCTTCTGCTAAGTAGTGGCTTGGGCCTAATTCATCTTTTTGTTATTTTTTTTTTTTGGTTTAAGTTATGTTAAAAGACTAATATGCCCTATCTAAACATGGGGTATTACAGTGCTGCAGGGTTGTGCATCTCATTGGGAAACCGCAAAGGAACATATAAGAGCATGAGTAAGGAGACATGAATACATCTCTTTCCTTATGTACATTGCGTTAATTCCCGCTCATGTTGACATCATGATGCAGCGATGGATCCAGGATGCCCCCCTACCGGTTCACTTTACACTGCTCATGCAAAGTCTCTCTGGCAAGATTCAGTAAGGAATTTCCGGCGAGAAACTCCATGGCTGACTGACAAACCCTAGACAGCCGTAGAAAAAAAAAATAATTCTTTTGAAGAAACAAGAAAAGATCCTGAAAACAATAGAGAAGATGAAAAGATGTTACATTGCAATAATGTGGTGGGAGCCCTTTCCGGAGCATTTTGTTGGGTATCCTTCTATTACCCCTCTTAATTCCTTGTCTATTCTTGAATTTCTAAATAAAGTTGTTGGAATTTGCTGCTGATGTTTCATATTTTGATTTTATAGATTTGTGAGGAAGCATATGTTGGGTATGGGGAATAGGAGCAATGTCCGCCAAATGGTGAAATGGGGGGTCTCGAAGAGCATTGAAGGCCTCCACAAGTTACTCGAAAAAGCAAAAGGCTCGCCATTGAGCGCCGCTATATATTTTGGTAAGCTTTAGCTGTAGCTAATTTGGGTTTTGTAAGCTCTTGTTTCATAAACACTTGTTGTCCACATTGATATTCTTTCAATTTTAATTAATATAAAGTTTCATGAAAGGAAATTAAGAGCAAAACCCAAACAACAAATCCCTTTCTTCAGGATTCATCAAGAATCTAATTAATTTCCTATATAATGTTTCATCCAGAGGATACAAAGTACTAACAAGATGATAATTTGAGTGATTTTGAACAAATCCCCAAATAATGAAAAAGGATCCTACCTTGTACGATGCTGCATTGGAAAGCATTGCCGGAGATAGCGGTTTTCTACTTTCAGATCATCTGAAAAGGGATGGATTAGAAAATGGATACCAAGTCACTCCAAAGGGAAACATGGCCATTTACGTTGCAGCCCTCTATGGCCAATCGGGTTTCGTGAGAGAAGTCCTTAAGATTGCCCCAGCATTGTTATGAACAAGAAAAAAAAACTGCACTTCACATAGTTTCTTTTTTCTTGTTCTGACGGCATAACAATGCTGGAGAGGGGAATAAGAAGACTGTTGAGTTCTTGTTTAAGATGAAATAGTCTTAAAATTAGAGTGAATGGGAAATGGGATTTGGATTTGGATTT